TGGTACAACATGCTTTTTTTTTACTAGGAAACATATTTCATAAAGGAAAACAGACACGAACACAGTACACCTATGGACCTCATACCTGTAAGAGAATCAGCAATTACAATGTCACGCAGTGTTAAACTGCAGGTCCAAAGGGTCTATATCCCTGAAGCAGCTTGATCACATATTTGACAACAATGATACAGCTAATCTGCTTCTTTAGTTCAGCTGAAAAAAAATAATTCCTCTCTTTTCCAATCAGCAGAGTAAAATTTCAGGTTTTAGATTTTAAGTCACTTGTATGGTTCTACACCATTAACCAATCTTATTAATTCATTATGGGGCCTGGACCTGTCATGCCATTATTGATATAGCCCAAGATCAATGCATCTCTATGAGTAAGAAATCAAGCAAAGGTGACAGGAGACCTGCATGGATGAGCAAGGAACTACTGGCAAAACTCAAATGGAAGAAGGAAGTTTACAGAATGTGGAAAAAAGGACAGACCACTTGGGAGGAATATGGGAATGTTGTCAGAGTATGCAGGGATGTGGTACGGAAGGCTAAGGTTGGAATTAAATCTGGCAAGGGATGTCAAGGACAACAAGAAGGTCTTCTTCAAGTAGCAAAAGGAAGACTAGGGAAACTGTGGGCCCACTACTGAATGAGGTGGGTGCCCTGGTGATAGAGGATACAGAAATGGTGGAGTTACTGAATGCCTTCTTTGCTTCAGTCTTTACTGCTAATGCCAGCCCTCAGGAATCCCAGACCCTGAAGGTAGGAGAGAAAGTCTGGAGAAAGGAAGACTTTCTCTGGGTCAAGAAGGACTGGGTTAGAGATCATTTAGGCAAACTGGACACCCACAAATCCATAGGCCCGATGGGATGTACCCACAAGTGCTGAGGGAGCTAGTAGATGTTACTGCTAAACCACTCTCCATCATCTTTGAAAGGTCATGTAGAACAGGAGAGGACACAAGGAAAGCCAATGTCACTCCAATCTTCAAAAGGGGTAAGAAGGAGGACCCAGGAAACTACAGGCCAGTCAGCCTCACCTCCATCCCTGGAAAAGTGATGGAACAGCTCATTCTGGATGTCATCTCTAAGCATGTGGAGGAAAAGGTTATCAGGAGTAGTCAACATGGATTCACCAAGGGGAAATCATGCTTGA